CTTTGTTTCTTCGGATCTGGTCCCTTTCTCTAGGGTGGAAAGAGATATCGTTGGCGCGATGTCCTACTTGGTGACATTTGAAGCATCTTCCTTCTTTGAGGTGCTTTTTTAACTCTGCGTCCGATAGACGGCTTATGCGATCGACTTCCATATCGTCGCTCCTCCTGGGAACATAGTGCTTGTTCCCAAAGTTCTTTTTCTTCTGTTGGTTGGGCCTTTCTTTTCTTTTGATGGCCTTCAACCTTTGGAAAGCGTTATCGAGGTTGATACAGGTGTTGACAACGGTGTCAAAGTTGTTGAGACTTTCACCGGTACGGTGCAGGCTGTCTTGAAGCCCGTAATCTAGACCTTGTCTGAAGAACTCTATAAGGGGGGCTTGTTCGGACATCCCTGCCCTGTGCGCGAGGAGTTTGTAGTTGGAGATGTAGGTGTGGAGGTCTCCTCTCATTTCCAATCCTCGGATCTTCATCATGGCGGTTCCGGCGGGATCCATGGGTTTAAAGGCTTCGTTGAAGTCCTTTTTGAATGTGGCCCAAGTTCCATAACCGATCATTTGGCCAGAGGTATCTTTTCTCTTAGGGTCTAGGGCCGCTTCCATGAAGTCTTCTGCCCATATCGCTGCGTTTCCCTTTGTCATGTAAGACAATACTAGGATGATCTTCTTCTTATCTTCATCGTATACCTCATCGTTGATGTCGAGGTATGCGTGGCACTTCATCATGAATCTCTTTGATTCTTCTCTGTCTCCATCGAATTCTGGGGGAGAACCAATCTTTAGTTCTATATCTTTGACTTTGGTAGTCATGTTGTTCAACGGCGGGAAGTTGGGTAAGGTCCCTAGGTTCAAGGCTCCGATCAAAGGAGTTAACGAAGTCGTGGTGTCAGTTGCGTTGCAGATGGCAACAGTTCAGGTGATAAAGACTTTAATCTTTTGTTACGACTGGGATAAGTCGAGCTATCTATGTCTGAATAGACAATCGGCAAAATGCCAGATAGACGGAGGTCTACTCTCGATTGAGAGATCAAGGTTTCTGGCTAAGGCGAGTGTCGCTGACTCCCTTAGAATAGTGGTTCTTAGACAGTAAGGTTGGAGACCTTGCTGAAGGACAATGTTCCAGGTAAAACCCAGTAGATTAAAGTAAGGAATACAATCGGTTGGTAGCTAGTCTATATAGCTAATGTTCAAGCGGAGCTTGTAAATGACTATCAAGATAGAAGCATGATAAGAAGAGAGATAAGGCGGACAGCCCGCTTGGCGAAGATAAGAGATAAGCATGGTATGGACGGCCCGTTTATAAGCGAGATAAGAGAAGTAAAGATAGGGGTAAAATGTTATTGTAACACCCAGCCAAATATAGTATTATCGTCTTGCACAGCCTAGTCTGCTATACTTCAGAGACAAGTGCATTTGACCCGAGCAGTTTGCCAGTCTGAATATTAGTGATATGATGAATGATCAATAATATGGAAGTGTAAAACAATGTCCAAAGGTATAACTATGATGTCCGACACCAAAGTGTTGGATCTGATATTCTTGGGTTAGCAGATTAGTGGGTGTCAGGTTTGCGGGTTATGGGAAACTATGGCGAGGACTGATAGTGATTGTCAGGAAAGCGAGTAGTATGCATAGTAATAATGATGATGGGTATTTCAGATAAGGAGAGCAGTAATATTCACAATGTCAACAAAGAACTATGAGATATTGGGTTTGACCCCTATGTATCAGGAAATGGCTCCTACTACTTGGATGATGGGTGATACTGTGGAGAGTCCAATATTCATGTAAATATGTAGAAATCCAGAATACATAGGTGAAAGCAGTAGCGAAATATTTCAGATCTGAAGTACATGTAAAAAAACATGAGGCGCTGTGGATGATGGGAAAACATATCATAGTGGTGGCTACGACATGAGTAATGTGCAAAATAATCAACTATGCACCTAGTGGGGCTAGCAAGATGGGATGGGACATAGGGAGGATGAGTGCGCAATATTTGGTTGGCCAATGCGGCCAAAACATCAGGTCTGCCAGTCAAAGTGTTGGTTCCACTATGGGCTATGGAGACTATCAGAATATAATTGGGAAGTGATTGGTGTGTGACATGCATTTGACATATATTGTAAAGTTGCTGAATATGAGCCCAGTGCTAGGCTGAGTCCTACATTGTCTTAGTCAAGGAGTTGATGCACCAGAATCTAAATCTGTCTGTGTGGGTTCAAAACCTGCTAAAGATGAATTTGCCAAGTGATCGTGAAAGTCAAAATCTGTTGCTCTTGGACTGTGCAGGTTTGAAACCTACCAATGATAAAATTCATTTTCTATGATTTACACACCTTGAAATATGCTCATGGTTGGTTGGCTGGCTGAAAAGCTGATCACAGACAAGTGGCTGTCATCACAAAATCAAAATCTGTTTTCATTGGAGTGCAATGAGTTTGAAACTTGTTGGATGTAACATTTTTCCCATAAGAATGTAAGGATCACATGTCCTCTACACCCCGACCACAACTTCAAAAGGAAATTGTAGAACCATTGTTCGCAAACCTCCACACGACTCATTGATGCGAAGAAGCATCACGCTTTGCATCCGAGTCACGCGGATACATTCCTCTTCTTTTTCACTCTTTCATCATTGTTTTGGCTTGCACAAACTGCTATACTCACTACCTGGACAAAACCCTTGCTATAACCGACCCTCAGACCCTTTCCTTTTGTCATGAACTGCTCCATTCTCACTTTGCCATACCAAAACCTGTCAAAACTGCTATGAAACTCTTGTTATTCTGTCCAAACCAAACTCTTTCTTATTGCCATTAATTCACTCTCTTGTACTTTCTCTTTTTTGCTCACACTAGCCACCTGTCAGGCTCAATGCCACTCCCTTCTGCATCTATTGCATCCTAATCATTTCAGTGAAACTAACTGAGGACCCTTGCCATTGCGCACTGATATACAGCTCATGTACTTTTGTATTAACAGCGAATCATATACCCAGAACCCCGCTCCAAGAATGCCAGACAGTCTCAAATGTATCACTCTCAAAATGGCTCATCCTTGTTGTAACATTTGCGCTCATTTTTTTCATCCAAAAACTCATCCTTGTTCACTTTCCCCTTCAAACTCAAACATCAGCCTTACAAGAATATGTCTTGAACATTTGCTCATAGACAGCATCTCAGACATTGAAGTTCATAAAACGACCACTTGGCTAAACACATACATTGTCGGCCCATTGAAAAGCTTGATTAATATGTATAGCTGCGCACCTCATGCACTATTACATGCATATCTCTGCAGCGGCTTGCCTTGAGTCTTATTACATTTTGGATAGCTTATCTCGCTACTACTTTTGCCTACGCAGGTTCCAGACTTTCACAATGTAGGATATAATCTGGCTCGCTAGCTACTCACACTTCACTTCACTTCCCTTGCTATGAGTCATAGTTAGTAGAGTCACTTCGGATAGTCATACTTTGCGTGATCAATCTTTTGTTCATTCGGAATGATTGTTTGGCTTGACCACTGCCATTTCGCATCTTGCTATTTCTTAGTTCTTTCGATAGGCTTGGCTTAGTTGTACTTCAGTACTTCTGCAAGTCTTATACTTTGACATACTTCGACACACTCACCGTATTCTCTCTTGGAAACCTTGCTGTTTCATTGGAAGCTCTTTGGACACTTCACACAACCTTGGACCTTTGTTTCTTGACTTTGGACCACCTTCGCTCGCATTGGACAAGTACTTTGTTACGTCAGACACATCTTTGGAACTTCAAATGCACCTTGGGTGACTTTTCCTTCTTTCATCTTCGATCTTAACAAGATATCCCTTGCATTTTATATCAAGAGATAATTCTATAGGCAGTCTATTTGGGACAAACATCACACTTGCACATTGAGTTCTCAGGTAACAACATTTGTAGCACCTACATAGTAGTTGGGGGAGAATACTGTTCAATAGACCAATGTATCTCTGTAGGGACTTAAGAACTGCATAATAAAATATTGTATTTTGTCCAAAACATGCTATCTTCATGCTACTACCTTGACGAACAATTGCTGAATGACACTGTGTGAAACTAGACACAGTGTAGAGACTCATGCCTCTCATTGTGTGATATGGCAGTTTTCACTAGGGAGTACATGGCACGAACTTGCAGCATCACTCTGTATGCTATCTGCAGCTATTCCTATATGAGGCGTAGCTTTCCCACGCAACATGCACGTGCATTCCCACGCTTCACGATGTATATGTGCATGCGCTTTCCTGTGCTTGAGCACCCTATAGCGCCAGCCATCCAGACGCATCCATCCACTGTCCACCAAGTTCTCTAGTGCGTATATTTCCATTTGCCCTTATTTGCATATCGTACCACCTTTATTCTTATCATGGACCCTTACTTACATATATCTTTACATACCTTACTCGGTAGCAATTTGGCTCTGCATGACAGCACTTAGGCGCCATACTTAAGCGCCAGCAGAACATACCATTAGCCACGGAATATATCCCAGATAACCCCCAAGTACTCACTGCCCAGTTCCCTAGAAAGTCGCAGTAGCAATCGATTCTCAGACATCCATCTATCTCACCTCACACCTCTTGTCTAGTATCTAATCATCACTTAAGCAAACTCACTCTTACTCTCTCTCGTTTCCGCATACATGCGCGCGCATTCCCGCGCCTTCTCGCCTCGCGCACACCTGCATTTTCTCACGCTTCGCATTGGCCAACCAGTAGCACCTTCAGTGCATACTTCTAGATCCTTGCTGCACTTGCTTCCCCTTTAGGGTTGAATGCACTTGTCATCTCAAGTATAGCAGACTAGGCAACACGCGACCTTACAACATTTATAGATACAGTCAGGAGCCTTGTTTGTGCCTCGCAGTATCATTGAACCTTCAACAGAACTAAATGATTCAACTATCTCAGGAAAAGGTGGCCTCCATCAGTACAACAACAAGCTCAACTGTGCAGGAGCAGGGCCATACAAAATATCTAACTCAGACAACAATGATTCACAGTTGAACAGGGGAAGGTTGAAATAATTGTCAAAGGATCCAGAATCACCATCTGAAGGCTGCTCACCAGGATAACTAAAATCAGAAGGCTGTGGAACAGGATGAGACACATCAGAAGAGGCTGAACCAGAACCAGAACCACTGACAGTTGCAGCAACACCACCAGATGATGTTGCTGGCTCACAAATTGGTTCCTCTTCCTCCATACCACTGTCATCGCTGTCAGCAATAATTTCCTTGCTCCTGTACTGCTCGTGGCAAGTAGTAGACTTCCTCGCATCTGTATGTTGTGTTTCTTTCCTTTGTCTGATCTCTGGCAGTGGTGACAATCAACTAGTTCGCCACTCTCGAGCTTGTCTTCACATTCCTTATGGAGTTCTGCGAATTCCTCGTCACTCAAGGCCCTCCAGTATATCTTGTTAGCGTCCCACTTGCACCAAAGCATTTCAAGGTCTGCAAGTGCGCTCGATGATTGGCTCAGGTTCATAAAAGGAATCTTCTTGGGCCAGCCTTCCATGACGACCTGGTACCTCTGAACAACATTGTGGAAATGAGTCCATTGCATCTTCGCACTTGGGTCATCAGTAGCCTCTTCTATAGATTAAATTTGGTCAAATCATTGTTGCGAAGCCAGAACAAAATACTTACAAAGTTATCTGTTGATAATTTCCCGTATTTCTGAACGTTTGTTGGAGATGCGCTGCTTGTGGTTTTTGGCAGAACCTAAATGTAATTAGACAGAAAACATGGTACTAGCAGGCAGGACACTAACCTTGCATCCCTTGTACCGCACAGCCTTCCATTTTGCTAACTAAATCTTGATTATCAATCCCCATGACAGTACCCATGAATTTTTCGACACCATCAGTGGAAAATGCGATACCTCAAAGGGGAAGATCAGTAGAGCCGCATGCTGTGTAGAGGATACTTTCTAGGCCCATATGAGGATGGAGACCATGGAGCTAGTATTTACGGTGTAGGGATTCATTTCTGGCTGGGCTTGTAGAGACTGTTTTTACCTTACCTTATGTTGGGACTTTTGTAGCTTACATAAGGAAGTTATCTTTTCACCAGTTACCAGTAGGAGTCAGAGTCTTCAGTAGTTTTCTATCATATTTCCTCTTCTCTGAGCCTTGAGCCTGGTCCAGAAACCCTTTAGGGTCGAATAGCAGCTAGGTTCTGCAAGACCCAACATTGTTCAGACTCACTCTCTGAATTGTTGTACCTTCAACGGGGTCATGTGAGAGAAATTCAATTAAAATGAACAAAGAACGCACCTCGTTTTCCACTGCCTTTAAGGTCTGGGTGATGTCATTTATCTTCACCTTTGTTGAGATATGAACACCTGTAGTCTTCTTCCCCTTCCATTCAGTAAACTTGGCAAGCAGTTCATCTTGCTCCTCCTTCGAGAGGGCAAGGTATTTGGCCTTGTAATCATGCACAAGTGATTGGAGTGCCTCTTTACCGTGGCTTTCTGCCAAAAAAAAAATTGAACGGTGTGCACAATGAAGTGTGATAAATAAACTCACGGTTCTCTTCATCCTGGTTCTTCTTCCAGCAAAATGTGTTCCATAAATTTAGCTTTGAGTGTTTGGAGTGGAGAAGCCCCCAACCCATGTACAAATCATTTTGAACACGACAGATACTTTTATGATGGGTAGTAGTGATGGTTTTGGTAGCATCGTCCATCTGCTTCCAAGCATCGTCTAAAGCATCCCTGAATCGAAGGGACTTAGCATGTCGGTCGAGTCTCAGAGCAGCACGAGCATCTTTAGTAAGCACGACCTTGGTACGTTGACGCACAGGTGGCTAAATATGCTTCACGCTGTTTATGTGTTTATTGCCATAAAATGAGTGGGTAACCATCGGCTACAGAGAAACAGCAGAGATGAATGAGTCAACAAACAACAGTCAAAAATTTTGCTTGACTATTTAATGCACCGGGCACAGGTTGGCTTGAAGTCCATTATCATTAGGCTCTGGACAAAATGACACATTATTCCACACTAAGCAACAAACAAATGTTTGAGATCTACAGTAATAACAAACCAAAAAGGTAAAGCGCACACAAAAATATCAAAATGCTGAGAAGCTTCAGGATGATGGTAAGTACCAATGATCAGTGCTATAGATATTAATCGGATCAACTTCAAAAAATGTGAAGAATGGACACTAACCTCCAAATTAGTGACCTCAGGAATCCGGATTGATGGCCTTCATACCCACTTGTAAGTCTACAAGGAGAGCATTAGTCAAAATGGAAGCATGTTCATAGGTAAGGTCCCATGCCGGAGACCTCAGTATAGCCTCCCATCGGCTACTGTGAACACTTCTGGTCAACAAACGGAGCCTGGGCAAATTTTCATCGCCCAACTTCAAATGATCAAGAGCAGCATCTGTGTGTGGTCCGATACTAATAAGGGGTGTCTCAGAGACTGAGGGATCACCTTCATGTCTCGGTACCACTGCAAGTGGGCTAGGCTTGGCAAATACATCGGCTGGACAACGACGATGTATCTCAGAGTGTGGTGGCAATGGCATGGCTTTGCTCCCCGATCTGTGAGCCAATTCTACTCCATGCCGAATAGCTGTGGAGTCTGAAGAAGGTAGAGGGGACTGCAGAATGCTGAAGAAAGCTTGGGAGGCTTGTGTAGAGCATTGGATGCAAGCTCCTGTGGCCACCATGGGTGGAGGGAGGTGCTGTGGACCACTGGCGCTGACATGAGCTGCAGTGACTTGAGAGCTGTGTTAGCAATGAAATGACGAAATAAATGGTGAACTACTTACAATGCCTTGGGGGTTTCACATTTTCAATGGCACAACGAGCTGTAAAGCGCTGGAGATGAGGCAACACGAACTCCTGCACAAACGCCTGTACCAAGACAGCAACATCTCCACCAATTCTCTGCTGCGATTCTTGCAACTCGCGGGGCGTGATATAGACATCAACAGGAAATTGTTCAGGTGAGATATTTGTAGTTGCTTCACTACCAGCGCATCAAACAAGAAGGGATATCCCACCATCAAGACGGTGTAGAGACTCGCGCCTCTCAATGCCGGATATGCGGCCTTCTTACCCATTTAATTCCCTACCTGTATCAGCTCACATCCTAAGGACCAGTCATTCGCGCTCTCGCGCACGCGCCCTACGTACGCGCCTCACTCGCACATCGCACACGCACACGCGCTCCATAGGCCTTCGCGCTCCTACCGTCCGTCCCTCTGTCCTTTGTCCTTGCTGATTTACTGGTGCGTTATTTTTATCTCTCTCTTTGAATTAACGAACCTTTGGTCCGACCTCCGCGCTTACATACAGAGAGTCTATTTAAACTTAGAATATATTTAGAAGTTGATATGGTTACTCGGTTCGGGAGCGCGCTCGGAAGCGCGCCGCATAGCGTAATCTCCCTTCTTAAATAAAGGGAGGATTCCTTTGGTTCTGGTACTTACTTTCCCCTTATCTTGATATACTGCAAAGTGTATAGTTCTCCCTCCAATACTAGAAATCTGATTATATTCCTCCACTGTTTGACACCTGTGCCCTTGCTATTCTCTTAAGGACTCCTCTCCTTCATCGTTCAAGCGCGCGCCCGCTTACGCGCGTACCCTCCGCATCTCTCGCTCACGCGCGCATCTCGCACGCCTTCGCATCACCTACGCGCATTACTTTCCTGCGTCTACCAGCGCCCGTCTAGTTGACAGAGTTTCCCTCCACCTTATTTGCGAGGAACTTCTCTCAGTAGCTGTCCTTTGGGTCGAGTTGTATTCTCGTATCCAGGTCTTGCTGTAGAGCCCCCTTTCTTTTAGTGTTTTTACCCACAGTCAAGATTCCTCACCTTCAACTGGAGCCCACCGCGAGGGACACTTCTGAGACAACCGGTCGGGTACTCAGACCCAACAGTCGTCGCAGAGCTAGAGAAGAAGCCATTGCCGCATTCGACAGAGCAATTGAATCAATTCTACCAGGACCCTTATTCCTTCAACCCGCGCGCGGTCGCTCGTGCAACATCTCAGAACCGCCACGACCAGATCTAGCGCTCTTAGCGCGCATGCCTAGACAGCCGATATCGCCAGTCACGCCATCGCCGGAAGAATCTGTCAAAGAAGAGTCGTCCGACGACTTTGAAGCAATAGATAACCCAAGAAGCCAACTTCCCGGAGCGTTCCTCCATACGCCCAACCAACCTCCTTTTATTTCTTCTGACCTATCAGCGCTAAGCGCACTGACCGAACTGACCGATTCTAGCAAAACCCCGCTTAACGCATTAGCATCCCCGTGCGCGAGAACGCGCCTCCTACAGTGGGAATTCCAAAAATCAAGCAAGAAGTGTTCGAAACCCCGCGCACGCCGCCTTCAATTCCAGGCGGTATCGTTATAGCAAACCTTCCCTTCGCATACGCGCGCCAAGTGCCAATCAGTCAGAAGACCTCCGCGCCTACAACATCCCAAACACCTACTATGTCCACCACAAGAACCAGAATGCCCGTCCGTGGGACAACGGATGCGCCTAAATTTGATGGCACCGCGGACGACCTCGCTGACTTTATAGACCTATACGAGCAGCTCGCTGATGAAGTAGGTCTAAAAGGACTCGACCGCATCAAAGGCATCATCCGCTACCTTGAGCGCGATGATCGCGAATTATGGGGCGGAATGCCCGAGGCGCAAGTAAGCGATTACGACGCCTTTTTAGACGAGGTCAAAGTAATGTATCCCGGATCGGATGGCAAAAGGCGCTATGCGCTTGCAGACCTACAAGCCATCGCGCACGAGTATGCTAACAAACCGATGCCTTCTTACCAGGAACTGAGCAGTTACTTACACGCATTCTAGAAGATCATGCAACCGCTTTTGGCAGAGGACCGTATCGGGAAAGCCGAGCGCGACCGCTGTAGAGACTCATGCCTCTCATGGTGTGATATGGCACCTTTCACTAGGGAGTACACAGCACGACTTGCAGCATCACTCTGTATGCTACCTGCAGCTATTCCTATACGAGGCGCAGCTTTCCCGCGCTTCGCGATGTATATACGCGCACGCGCGTTCCCGCGCTTGAGCGCCATACAGCGCCAGCCATCCAGAAGCATCCATCCACTGTCCACCAAGCTCTCTAGTGCGTATATTTCCATTTCCCTTATTTGCATATCGTTCCACCTTTATTTTTATCATGGACCCTTACCTACATATATCTTTACATACCTACTCGGTAGCGCTTCGGCTCCGCATGACAGCGCTTAGGCGCCATATAAGCGCCAGCAGTACATATTATTAGACACTTAACTTTCGAACTTTACCTCCCACTTACCCATCTACTACCTAGCAGAATATAGTTGCAATCTATTCCTTGGCACTTTGCACTCACATCTCTTGTTATTCATCATATCACCACTCAAGCTAACTCACACTTACTCTCACTTGTTTCCGGTCACGTGCGCGCGCGCTTCCCGCGCCTCACGTGTACCTTCGCTTTCCCGCGCCTCGCGCGCACCTGCGCGCTTTCTCGCGCTTCGCATCAGCCGACCAGTAGCGCCTTCAGCGCACACTACTAGATCCTTGCTGCACTCGCTTCCCCTTTAGGGTCGAACGCACTT